CTGAAGTGCTGGGCTTCTGGCAGCTGGCTCTATATAAGAAAGGCTGCCAGGACGGCTGGCTAATACCCGTGAGACTCTGTTAAGTTGATGTTTTTTAAATGATGTGTTTATATGATCTGAAGCTTTTCTTGGCAGCTGGCTCTATATAAGAAAGGCTGCTAGAGCTGCCGGCTAATACCCGTGAAACTGTGTTAAGTTGATGTTTGGTTAAATGATGTGTTTATATGATCTGAAGCTTTGAGCCTCTAACTGCCTTTTCTATATAAAAAATTAGCTTTATAGATCTTAAAATATCCTTTGAAAGCCTTTGTATATATATCCAATATACCGTTTTGATATTTATTTAAGTTTATATGTGCTTTGTAACTCCTCACAGTCCTCCACCGCCGCTAACCGGCATAAAAAACGCATATTATATTAACCACGCGCATTTTTAATAAACTCCACTCCAACTCCATACAATGTTGCTGTGTTGTTCATAGTAGATTATACGGAATCACGAAATTCGTGATGTGCCACAATACGCGCGTACACACACATCAACAAACAACATGTGCCTTAAATACTCTTACTCTACAACCTATTTCATTTGAAATTTATGTGGCGTATTGATTGACAGACACCAGTTGATTAGCTGCATTGTCGCCGATTCTAATGTGAAGGCTGCCGCTGCCACACTACCACTGCCACTGCCCACCAACCAAAGCGTCAACTTGAAAAGTGGCAAGCAAATGCTAATGAGGTAGTCATTGATTCGGTGCTGACTGTCTGACAGTGCGGTGAAATTAGTGATGAATGTGTTGGTGGGTGGGTTCTGTGTATAGCCAACAATACTTAGCAGCGACAGCGTGTGAAGCGCGTATAAAATTAAAGCCTGCTTTGTGGTGAATGTGTGCATCTTTATACGATAACAAAACCACAATAGTGTGCTGCAAGTGACAGGATATAAATTTATAATTACTCATTGCAATGTGGCTACGTATGTACATACATACTATATATGTACATATGTGTATGTATATGTATATGTATATAAATAATGTACGGCAAGAGTTGTTTTGTTAGCCTGACACTAACTGTGTACTATTTACATTAAGCTGTCATTTAAACTGCGGTTCGATAAGGCGTACTCGGGAAATGATAGTTGTCACGACGATTCATTTCTATTTAACACGAAATTGTGGTAATTGAGTTGCGTTAGTTTCACTTGTAAAAACTTGTAAAAGTGCTGTTATTATATTATATGAATTAGGTGTAAATTAAAACGTCAATGTACTATTAGCTCATCAGCTGTTTATTACAGTTGTTGTTGTTTGTTCTCAAAATCCGATTGTTGTGCAGTTATGTAAACTAATATTTATTACAGAAGTTTGTATTATTATTGTTATTATACTATTTCTATTTTGGCTAAGGAGAAAAAAATGTTAGAATCTTTTGTCATCTACTAAATTTATTTTTTACTTGCACAGCACTGTCTCTATGCGAAAAAATACACATCACTGTTGCAATAGAATAAATATCGATACCAAATTGTTTTTTTTTTATGAATTTTCGATAAATTTTTAGCATTTGGGAACTTAACTAATTTTATGATACTCGTGAGTGTTGTTTTTTTTTTTTTTTTTTTTTTTTTTTTTTTTTWTTTTTTTTTTTTTTTTTTTTTTTTTTTTTTTTTTTTTTTTTTTTTTTTTTTGAAGTCATATACGGTCTAGAAAATAAAATCCATTATTTTGCATTTAATTAAAGCATAGTCAGCATACAATTTAGGTCAAATATGCTTCGTTTTATACGTTTTATGTTGCAGGTAGTAATTTCATAATGCCTCTCTCACAGTAACCATTTTTCTTATTGGCAAGAAACACACAAGCTTTCCTCGAGGCCATTTTTACAGCAACTAAATCATTCCCCGCACAGAGACAGCCGTGATAATTAGTTAGCGCCAGGTACGAACTATAAGAAACATGCATAAGAACCACCCAACCAAGCTCTCGGAGCAGGTCTGTGTTAAGAGTTTGGTCGCAATCTCATAGTAGATGATTCTCTAATAAATCCACCTAACCCACAACAAAACCTGCTTGATCATCAATCATGATTTGGCCACCGTTTGCGTCGGGTTCCCTCAATTCGACACCGAACGTTTCCATGACTTACGGCCCGACTCGACGATTTCCATTGCTTTATCGATATTTTCAACAATAGGCCTTCGCAACAACAAAAAAAACAAAAACAGAAATATTAGTAATTACGAAGAAATTTAAATTTTATTGCATTTTGGCGTTACGAAAGCTTTGTCTCCCACTCATCCTAACTTGTATGCAATCCTTAACTCAACACTATTTTAAAAAACCAAATCGATTTTCTCACTTTGTACTTGTCCAATGCCTCACTAACCTTTGCCGCTCACGGACGTAAAAGTCAAAATGTCAAATTTCCACACGACAAAAGTCAACTGGCCATAAGCAGCGGCAAAGCAAACGCTTAAAGAGCGAGAGAAGAAACCTAAACCAGGAAATTTTCACATTTAAATTTATAGCTTTGTTAAGCATTTTACCTTTGTCGCTGATGCTATTTGCCGCACATTTCCAGTGGCTATAGGCTGCTGTTGGCGAAATGCAGCAGCAACTGTCAATTGAATGTGGTTGTAGGCAAAAGTCAAAAGCAAAGCGTAAAAAATTAAAAATTAAGCAAATAAAATAAAAACTTGTTTTTGTTGTTTGTTGTTGTGCCGATTGCCCGACTACCTAACCGAACAGCAACCACTAGCTCTGCCTACCTCCAACAACCAATGGAAGCGCACACGCTGTCGCATTCAGTGGTGGCAGCAAGCGCAGCGTAACTGCAATGAGCGCGCGTTTTTACGTAAGATTTTTCTTACAACGGTGGCGGCAAGCAAAGCAGCGGCAGCAACGAAAACATGTTTAACAAGCAATGTATGCAGTCGAGAGCAACAACTATTGCAGCCACTGCAACTGTAAAAATATAAAATGCGCGATAAATAGTCAGTTTTTGTTGTTGCTTATTTTCGGGTTTTCTGCACATTTTCCGCTATATGCTAACAGCGTTCTGCATATGAAAGTGTGCTTTGAATGCCTTTTAGTATGAAATTGACCGATGGGAATGTTTTCTGGCGGGAACTGAGACACCGAGTGTCAACTTTATTATATTTGGAAGATTAACGAGCTCAATTTGGGCGCTTTCGAAAAATTCAAGTGAGCCATTATAACTATATGTTTTTATTTATTTCTTTCTCTCGCAACGACTAATATTGCTTTGTACTATGTTTGCTTATTTTCAGGCTATTACCAACCTGCCGGGCCATTGATCTCACCACACGTCCTACCAACTGTAGCCGCTGCACCACCGCCGCCTCCTAATGTGCCACTTCTGCCGACAGGTGTCACCTCTGCTTCCGCTTCTGCTATCAAGAAATCTCAACAAATACCCGCGCCGCTTAGCTCTGATCCGGAGCTTGCTGCCGGCCAACAACCTCCACCATCGGCTACAGCCGCAGATAGCGCAGACAGTGATGTGCTTATTACCGGTGGCGATTTGACACCGTTCCGCTATCCGCCGGTCGCACATAGCGGCGCGCCCACCACACAGCACCAGCAGGTGCAGCAGCAACAGCATCAACAGCAGCTTCATCAACAAGCTGCCGCCGCTGCTGCCGCAGCTGCTGCTGCTGCGGCCGCCGCCGCTCATCAGAGCTCACCATATCCACGTTCCATGCATGCGCAGATGCACTACTCGACTGCGTATCCGGCCAACTATTGTACACCATATCCGGTGGAAGCGGTGTGCTACTCACCGCCCGCCTATCAACCCTACTTTTCGACCAAAGTCTATCAGAGCGCAGGTCCGCCACCACCTTCGACATATCGACGCTATCCATACTATCAGCCAGGTCATCCGCCTCCGCCGGCCGAACTGTACGAACAGGGACCGCCACCACCACCACCGACAGCGACAAGTGGTGCAGCACAACCCAGTGGACCGCCACCACCAACCTCCATTCAGGGACCACCACCACCAGCACCGCCCCCCGGAACACAGCTTGTGCCGGCTGGACCGGCAGCACACGCACAGCATCTCGAACACTATCCAGGTCCGCCGGCTTATTATACCGGCTATAGTCCGGGCGGTGGCGCTGCAGGGCAGTGCTATACGCGCAGCATACAGGGACCGTATATGGGTAAGGAAAAGTATGGTTCTCACCTAATCGGTAGATATCTACATTTGTGGGTAAGGGGTGGGCTATATTAAAAAAAAAACGAATATTGATGTCCTATTTTGGCTGACTACACGGCTGTTGCTTATTATAACGCGTCTTTAATATATGTTTTTACTTCTCATTTGCAGAATATCCACCACAGTGTCCGTGTCCAATGCAACAATCGTGTCCAAAAAACGTCCATACTGGGCCTCATATTGGTAGCAACAACGGCAGCAACAACAGCAACAGCAGCAGCAGCTGCAGCACGAACAACAGCAGCAACAGCAATTGCTCAACAATGAATCATTTGAGCAACAACAACAATACGCTGTCTCTTATACACATCTAGATGTGTATAAGAGACAGGTGTCCGTGTCCAATGCAACAATCGTGTCCAAAAAACGTCCATACTGGGCCTCATATTGGTAGCAACAACGGCAGCAACAACAGCAACAGCAGCAGCAGCTGCAGCACGAACAACAGCAGCAACAGCAATTGCTCAACAATGAATCATTTGAGCAACAACAACAATACGTTGATGAATGGCAGCAACAGCAGCAGGGAAACCAACAACAGCAACAACAACAGTTCGAATATGACGAACCACAACAGCCAGAATAACAGGAGCAGCAGCAACAACAACAGCAGCAGCTCGATCAACAATTCATTGACTACCAGTAGAGGCCCAGGTAAAAAATCGACGACGACGACAACACTAACCACAACAGCGACACACGCCACCGTACCAGTAACAGCAACAGCAACAGCCATGGCTTTAGCGTCAGCAACACCAACAGAAATCGATGATCTGTTACTGTTCGGCAAGCAACATACGCAACAGCATTTGGATCTATTGCAAGTGGTTAAGTCCGAGCTGAAGTTAGAGGATTCGGACAATAAAAGCCAGTACGAGGAGAGCGTAGTACAGCCTCCGACACCGCCTGAAAGCTATACGACCAACGACGAAAAACTCTTAGATACACTAACAGAGCAGGAACTGTCCTCGGCGTCATTGCCGACGGCACTTGAAGAGGCTAATGCAAAGCTGCTCTTACGCAGCGATCAAAATGACAGCAAAGTGGCAGTGCCGGTGGAGAGTCGACAACAGGCAATGCCGCAATACGCGGGCAATAACTGTAACAATGCACCGCCTGTGCTCGAAGCCTACGACTTAACATCAGTTACGGAGACACCTCCACCCTCCGCAGCAAATTCAACTGTGGCTACCAATAGCAGCACCACCAACTCCACCACAACCGCCACCAATTGTGCCGCATTTCCGATCTTGGGCCGGAAAGCGCGTATTGGAAAGACGATGGCGCGGGAGATGGTTTACGCAGGCGCCGCTGCAAACGTGACCGCGCAGGCGCAAAGCAGTTTACAAACGCATTCGACACCAATGATACATGTGCGCACGTTGCCGCAGCAACCGCATGCAATTGTGCAACCACAACCGCAACTGCAACAACCACCACCGCAAACCCAGCCGCATCAACAAACGCAAACACAATTTGTGAACCTTCAACCGGACCAGCTGTTGACAGCTATAACACCAAGTCCTTCACCACAAGTGCCAGCCACATTAAGCGAGTCCTTTCCAGCCGCCGAGACTGCGCAGACGCCTTTTATATTGAAGACAGAAATCAAGGCAGAAAAGATTAAGCTGGAAGACGATGAGCCGTTGTTAAACGCTGTGTTGCAAATGCAACAACAACAAGAGTCTAATCACAATCATGACAAAGACAATGAGAAAGCTGAATTTAAGCTTATCAAGGCTGAGCCACTGACATTGACCTGTGAAGATGTATCGACCGAAGTGTCTGATGTTACGGACACGCCGACATTGAAACCGTTAGGTATGTTGTGACTTATAATATTCCAGTTCTAACTAAATTAACTTTTTTCTTTCTCTGCCTCTGTAGGTCGCATGCGTCTTTTACCTAGCTGGCAGCAGCCACCAGTAATTCAGTGTGACATTGACCTCTCCACGACCTCAGATGATGATGTGCTCGATCTTTGCCACAGTCCGGCATTATCTTCTTCGGGTAGCTGCCAAAAGTCACGCCTCAAGATACTTAACCTTCCCAAGGCACAACTGCAGTGTAAGAAATCTTCACCCAACGGATACAAAAGTCTCATTAAGCAAGCCGAGCCACGCACATATTTGTGCCTGAGCGGACGAAAACTGGATAAACGTGGGCGTTACAGTAAACTTCAGTTACGGCAATCCAAAGTAGGTGGCGTCAATGCGACAATACGCCGGCGTCAGCTGGTGCTGACTGATAAGCAAAAGAAGCAACTGAAGCTGCGCAAGAAAAAGTTACAAGCGCTGGAACGCCGCAAGCAGGAGATCTTAGAAAAGCGCCGCGCGGCTGCCAAACAGGAACGGTTGCAGCGCAGGAAGCAGCAAAAGAAGTCAATCGCCCTCAATGACATAAAACAAGAAGATATAGAGCCATGCGCGGATGAGATCGTCGATTTGGTAGAAGAACCCGAGCAGACGGAAAGCGAATTCAGTGAAACCACGCAAACAGATGTGCCAACAATGCGCATGCTGCTGACCGAGAGCAGTAGCAATAGCAACAGCAGCAGCAGCCTGAGTACGCTACGGATCACGCCGAAACCTTCACCAAAGCGCGGCAAGACACAGCGTAAAACTTGTATACCGTTGCACTTAATCGAAACCATCGACTCGGTGGCACGCGGATATTTCTCAGAACCCGAAACGTCACGTTGCAATGGCACTCTAAATCAGTGCACCAACTGCGATGCTGCTGACGTTACTGAGCCTGCCTCGGATAAGGCAGCATCTGAACGTAAACAAAAGAAAGACAAAAAGGCGAGCGCGGAGAAGCGCTCCAAATCGGAGACGAAGAAACCTATTAAAACTGCATCAGCAACACCGCACACAGCTGTGCCTGAGGCTATTGATGTAAACTACACACTTAYGACGGCGACAGCGCGTGCCGCACAAACTACCTCAATAACCGAACCTGCGTTGGATTCGCGCAATGTAGAGCCTAACATAGCCTTGAATTTGACACAGGTCACAGAAGAGGCGTACGCCGAACCAACGGCAACGTCGCTTGAAGAGATCGTTAGCAGCAACAACAGCACAAATAAAATGTCGAGCAAGTCAAAGCGTACGCCGGCTAAACGGAAACCTGCAAAAGCAAAGAAGTCGAAAAAGTCAAAGTCAAATAAGAAGAAACTTAAACAGCCAGACTGCGACTACAACACATATGCTTTGGAAACGTCTGAGGAGGTGCCGCTGCAGACCACAGAGCAACTGGCATTGGAGACCAACAACAACATATATGACAAATGCAACGCGGAAGGCAGCGCAGCGCAGGAGGTCGAAGATAGACCAGCACAAATGGAAGCTGAAGAGCTGGATGAGACGCCGACGCTACCAGAAGTCGTGCAAGAACAGCAGTATGCGCAGCCACTCGATAAACATTCCAATGCACAAGTGTTCCTGCCGCCCGTACCGCCAATGCCGCGCATTGTTTGCCAGCCGCATCACGGTACTAAACGCACGCGTTCGCGCTCGAAATTCGGCAGCCGCAAGCGACAGAAGGTGAAACATTCCACGGTCTCCTTCGAATTAGACGACCGCCTACCGCCAGCCACGCGCGGCGATGTCGTGCCGAAATGGAATAACGGTTGGACGTGGGAGGGTGAGCCATTCCAGGGCGCGGTATTTTTGAATGTAAGTGTTGTGTACGCTAGTGACAGGGCAAAAATTTATATTTAATTTTGGTTTCGTTTGCAGAGCGACGACCCGCTAGTCATACGCACCTGTTATCCCGCCATGCGTCACTCAGAGGGCGACATAATACGCACACGCGACTGTGTGCTGCTCAAAGCGAATGAGGATAATGATTTGCCATATGTGGCAAAGGTGGCGCACCTCTGGGAGAATCCCGAAGATGGTGCGTACATTTTTAGGTTATGACTCATTAAACGTTACTTGATATTGCGTGTGTCTGAATTGCTTTGTAGGTGAAATGATGATGTCTTTGCTGTGGTACTACCGACCCGAACACACCGAGCAGGGACGCCAGCCTAACGATAGTCCCGACGAGGTGTACGCCTCCAGACACCGCGATCACAACTCTGTTGCCTGCATTGAAGATAAGTGCTACGTGCTCACTTTCAGCGAATATTGTAGGTGGGTTGCAATAAAATGAAAAGCAATAGATTTAAAAGTTAAAAACGGACTTTAAAATCTTCGAAAATGTTTGCAAAGCGTTTTCGTAATTTCAAAAATCGTTACGATTTGAATTCGACACGATACTTCGACGTATAGGATTAGTTTTTCGGGATTCAAAATTTCCGATCCATACTATTTTAATTTAGAAAAAATCGCTTGCTCTCTCAAACTTCTAATTGTTCCGAGTTTAGACCAATTTTTTTAATGGAATGTAGACATCAATGATCTCAGCATACTTCAAAACCCGAAATGCCTTCAAACACCTTTAATACTATCAACTTTGTTGTCATTTTACAGATACCGCCGTCGTCTACGCGCTGCTGAGGAGGACATCGAAGAGGAGGTCTCCATAGTGCCCAAACGCGCCAGTTGTTATAGCATACGCACCGTGCCTGAGAATACAAATCCCGAACTGGTTATGTTTTGTCGGCGCGCGTACGAGTTTCGCACGAGACGGCTGCTAAAGATGCCCAACAAACAGGATTACATTGTCGTCAACGGCTAAGCCGGCAGCACGCCCAACAGAAAATACTGGGGAAAAATAGTTTTGCTTAAAGTAGCAAATGCTGGAGGCAGCGGCGCAACCACTACGCTTGTATAAGGTACTTTTGTTGAACTGTTGAGTACAACAACAATTTGCTGCTGAATTGTTGGTAGTTGGAAAACATTTCGGCAAGGCATATGTAGGGTGCCGCAAGAGCGTCAATCAAGTATGCTGTTCAAATTAGTAATGGAAAGTCATTAGCGTCTGTAACGGTATCTATTTGTTTGCATTATTTATTTTTAAGTGAAATATTTAGGTGACTTACTTTACACTTTCCTACAATTCGCTTAACTTAAGCTTAACTTGTTGTATGCGGCTTTTCGCCAATGTGTTTCCATTTATTAGCGTTTATTAATTATAATATTCGCTAGTTACATATACATACATTTAAATATTTATACTTTGCATAGGTGTTTATTTTTCTCTTATTAACGGTTATTCTCAACACGCCGCACACATAAGCCACGCGTGTTTTCGACGTTTAAAATCATCTATTATTGTAAGCGCAAATGTATTGAAAACAAATGCATACACACCAAAAAAACAAAAACAAATACTAATAAGTTAACTGTTTAGCTGATGTATGGAAATTTAACCAAAAACAAACTATTTAGACACACCCATATACTACATTAGGGCCCGCCAAAAAACATACACAGTGGACCTAGTTAACTGCTGTTATATAAATGGAAATAACAAATAACGAAACAAGGGACCAGACGGACTACAAGCAAAATCTAAAACTTTGAGCGCAAAACTAGAAATAGAGAAATAGTCAGTTAAGTTTAAGCAGTAATAGTACTAAAGTATTTCGTAAACAGAACAAGCCAACAATCAACTTGCAGAGGAAAGCTTGTATAATTTTTTATAAAAATATTTGCAATATATAATTTTTTAAATTTACTTTTCAACAAATATTTCGGAACTTTTCGAAACTTTCAGCATTCTTTTTCGGGATTTTTTGGAATTAATTAAAAAATTTAAAAATTTTG